TTTTTTTTTTTTTTTTTTTTTTTTTTTTTTTTTTTTTTTTTTTTTTTTTTTTTTTTTTTTTTGTAAGGAATTGTAAAAAAAAATTATATAATATACACCAATAATTGAACTTCGAATTCTACATGGAGATCAAATTTACCATTGTCTTAGTTGCAAATGAAGTGATTGAATATAGTTGACTTTTCTCATTTTAATCTTTCTAACTTAAATTATATATTAAGTTGAATAGTTTTGTCGTTGTTTAATCAACTTCATAAAAGAAAAAAAAAGCATAAAGTGTATATTTTTTTAGATAATACTTTATATGGTATAAAAAGTTAAAAAAATAAATGAGATAGTGTTGAAACAAAAGAAGGTAAATGTAAAAAGAAGGGGCGTTCCGAGAATCGAACTCGGGACCTCTCGCACCCAAAGCGAGAATCATACCACTAGACCAAACGCCCTTGAACGTTATTGAGGGAGTTAGTAAATATATATATGAGTAAATATATTGAAAATTTCTAGGGTTTTTCAGTGAAGTTTTTCACCATATAAGGATCAGTTGGGGCTCAATAAGCGGCAGACGGAACCAGCGAACTCTCTTCTGTTTCTGCATCTCTCTCCGACTTTTTGCAGCGCTGGTCCGTTCGTTCTTTGAGATCTTATTTTCTCTTTTATTTTCGTCGTCTTCATTCAGATTTTGACCCATTTTTTCTGATTTCAATTGTGGTCGTCTCATTTCATCTGGCATACTTACATTTGTTGCTGATCTGCGTTATCAATCTTCGGAATATATTTGTTTCTTGTTCATCGGATTAGTTGTTCTAATAGTTAATATTATTATTTTTTAAATCTCATGTAGATGGCGAACGTTCCGGGTCAGTTAGTTTGGGAAATCGTTAAGAAGAACAGTTGTTTCCTCGTCAAAGAATTTGGCAGAGGCAGTGCTGGTGTTCAATTCAGCAAAGAGCCTAACAACCTCTACAACCTCAACTCCTACAAGCATTCCGGTAAGATTCTAATCAGTAATCTGTCTCCATTTTTTCTTAGTACCATTGTTTAATTATGAGGAAGATATCTGCTCCTCTACATTCACGATCTGTCTTCATCTCGTTGACCCCTTTAACCAGTTTTACCTCGGAGACGATTGGCATTTTGGTTTTTGTTCTAATGTGTTGGGTTTATTACTAATTTTTTGATGGAACTTTCTTTGGGTGCCCTTTCAGGGTTGGCCAACAAGAAGACAGTGACTATTCAGCCAGGAGGCAAAGATTTGTCTGTATTGCTTGCGACAACAAAGAGAAAGAAGCAGAATAAACCCGCGAGTTTGCTCAACAAATCAGTTATGAGGAAGGAATTTCCAAGTATGGCCAAGGCTGTGACTAATCAGGTAACATGCCTCTCCTTATTTTTTTGTCAGTTCTGTTTGTAGTTGTCATTAATCGTGCTTAGTGCGAACCATCAGGACATTATTGTGTTACATAATGTGCATTGATATGAATGTGTTCAATGAGTAGTCAATAAATCATTTCTGTTTTGTAGTTTCTTCGAGGTTCGTTATTGATTTGAATGTGAAACTGAATGTGCATTGTTGCAGTGATGAGAAGCTAACATATAAGAAGAGCTACTTTTGTAGTGGCATCTTTGATGAAATATATTTGTTACGCTTGGCTTCTGAGCACAATTTTCCATTTTCTGTTACTTTCTCGTATAGCATAATATCAAACTTCTGTTGACATTAAAGCAACAACTAGGGGTGGGCGAACTTTTTAACTTTTACTCTTGCTGCGATGATGAGCTGCTAACATGTAAGAAGGGTCACTTTCGTAGTGGAATCTTCGATGCAATTTTTTTGTTACGCTTGGCTTCTGAGCATCAATTCTACTTTTAGATGAAAACAAATTCGAACAACATAAATTTGCCTTACAAGTTATTGAACAATTCTAACTGTTGCTGCTATGATGAGATGCTAACATGTAAGAAGGGTCACTTTCGTAGTGGCATCTTTGATGCAATCTTTTTGTTACGCTTGGCTTCTGAGCAACAGTTCTCTTAGATGAAAACAATTTCGATCTCTTAAATATGCTTTGTTTGTTTGGATCTCTGATTATGTTCCTCGACACTTTTATTCATGTAATTTTGAATAACTTCCTCGTGTAGCATAATATCCAACTTCAGTTGATATGAAAACTCTAGGGGCGGACAAACGTTAACTCTTACTGCTATGATGAGCTGCTAACATGTAAGAAGGGGTCACTTTTTTAGTGGCATCTTCAGTGCAATCTTTTTGTTACGCTTGGCTTCTGAGCATTAACTCTCCTCTTGCATGAAAACAATTTCGATCTTTTGTATTAGCTTTGCTTTGCTTGATTTGGTCTTTGATTATATTCCTCAATTTTTTTTTTTCATGTTATTTCCCATATCTTCCTCTTAGCATAATATCAAACTTCAGCTAATATATTAACTGTTATGTGATGATGAGCTGCTAACATGTAAGAAGCGGTTACTTTCGTAGTGGCATCTTCAATGCAATTTTTTTGTTACGCTTGGCTTCTGAGCATTAATTTACTCTTAGGATGTAAACAACTTCGAGCTTTTATTGTGCTTTGCTTGATTGGTGGATCTCTGAGTGCTTTGCTTAATCACTTTCGTAGTGCTTTGCTTGATTGGATATCTTGGATGTAGCATTTTTTAAGCTTGAGCTGACTGATATTATGCTACACTAGAAAGTTGAAACTGTTACTGCGATGATGAGCTGCTAACATGTAAGATGCTGCCACTTTCGTAGTGGCATCTTCAATGAAATCTTTTTGTTACGCTTGGCTTCTGAGCTCTAATTCGTGCTATTGTACTACATCTGTGTATTTTTTTTTCTTTATATTAATAGTAATTAGATGTGTCTCTAATTTGGAGTAGTTATTGATTTTCAGGTGGCTGACAATTACTACCGACCGGACTTGAAGAAGGCTGCCCTTGCAAAGCTAAGTGCAGTTCACAGGAGCCTCAAAATTGCCAAGTCAGGTGTCAAGAAGAGGAACAGGCAAGCTGTTAGGACCCGCGGTAGGAAGTGAAAGAACGATGGTTTCTTCTATTTGAGCCCCCTTTTTATAATACCCTGTTTCCAATGTTCTAAACCGAGCCCCCCCATTTGCAGGGCTTTTCATTCAACTTTTTATATTTTGGTTTTATATTTGAGCATCCTGCCATTTGGATTTTTGTTCATTCAAGAGATTATACTAAATTTTGGTTTCTTCTTTTTGAGCCCCCTTGGATTTTTGACATGTTCTTCCTCTTAAAATTCTTTTTTAATCATTTAGAAATTAAGTCATGACTCGTTCATGAATTAAAAGCTCTCTTCATATGAACTCTATTTATTCCACAATTAATTTTGAAGTATTAAATTAATTTTTTGAGGTTACTGAAGGACATAAAATTTGAGGTTATATTTAAATGATCAATTGTTTTTTAAAATCTTGAATTTAAAATATTAAAAATATTAAAAACATGAAATTAATATCTTAGATACATTGAAAAAATTAAATCGATACAAAAAGTAAAAATAATATTAGGGGAAAACGAATGAGCCGTATGAGATCCGTGAACCCGATGGGTCGCCCCGAATGGTGCGGTGTTCCTTCCAATGTATAATGTAGGTGTGAGAGCTCAGATATTTCGGTTTGTCCGGACGAATTTCCCGCGCCTCCTCTTCATTATTCCCGCTCAGTAAACCCTAATCCAAGATGGGTCAGAAGCAGCAACCCTCTGCTGATCCACGCCCCGACAATAAGAAAAAACGTCGCGTTGCCTTCTCCAACATCGGTAACTTCTCTTCTCATTTCGTTAGTTTTCAGCTTCTCCCTCCCTTGGTTGCTCACTGGAACATGTTCCCTTTTCTCTTTGTATCTCTGGCTCTCGCGCAGATACTGGTATTCCCGCGAAAGATTGCATCAAAATCTATCTGGGTATGACTATTTCCCTTTCTGCGCAGTTTTATTCAAGGGTAATTTTGTTTGGATTTGCCTGTGCTTCGTTTGAAATAGTTTTTCCCGTTTCGCGGACACTTTTTAACTCCGTGTATGTTTTAGAGTTCATGTGGTTCCGTTAAATTAAGCTATAAGAGACGTGTACTGAGTTGGGTTATAAATTCAAAATTATTTCTGCACTCTCTGTTTAGAGACGAAGTACGTGCATGAATTGGTTTGGTTTGAAATCCAATGCTTGGTGTTGCAAGAAAATGATTACTTAGTTCAACTAGTTTGGGTAATTTTTTTTCTCTATTTCTATGTTTATGCATTCTTGCAGTTTCTACGAAAGAGGAAGTGGGAAGTACAGACAGTCTTTGCATTGACCCAGTTGACTTGATCAGCTTCTTTGAAGATGAGGATGGAAAGATTTATGGTTACCCAGGTTTGAAGGTAAACGCTTGCATCCGTAGTTTAGAGTAAATCTTTTCGCTCGTAGCATATGTGGAATGATATATTTATCTAAAATGGATATAGGATGGCGCTGGCTGTATTCTGAAATTCTATGTTTATTGCAGATCACTGTATGGTTCAGCATTGCCTCATTTCATGCCTACGCTGACATTGTTTTCGAGAGCACATCTGATGTAAGTGCTTCAATGTTTACATGACCCTTTATGTTAATCTGATTTGATTAGGTTACCCTCTCTCACTCTTTGTTCTTGTTCCTCTCTGAATGCAATAGTTCTTCCTGTTCTTCTATTTTTGGGCATTTAGGAGTGTAAATGTTTTTGATGCTTGTTATAGGGTGGTAAGGGCATTACAGATCTGAAGTCTGCACTTCAGGTGAGCATCTTGAAGTACATGATTTAGAATCCAATCATTTACTGGTACTTGAAGGATTGTTCTGATAATTAAACACTGCTCTTTAACAGAATATATTTGCTGAGACCCTTGTGGACAACAAAGATGACTTCCTTCAAACTTTTTCAAAGGATGTCAATTTTATTGGGTAATTCTCAATCTCTGTTACATTTTTTTCATTGAATCTTCTGTGTGCTTTTTTTAAACCTTGACATTGTACTCTGTTGTCCTCGTCTTGTCATTTTGGTTTGTATCTTATCAGATAATGTATTGTTCCCATTGTTAACTATACTGCAGATCCGTTGTTGCTGATGGAGAAGTATTACATCCTAAAGCTTCCTCCAATGGGCAATTTAACGAGGCTAAGTTTCATTTACAAGCAGCCAATTCTGATTTGGAGGTGCTTTTCCTGTTTGAGTTCTATGTTACTCTGTTACAGTGAAAATTTGTCTCAGATGTTTTCGTGGTGCTGCTTCAAGTTGTGTATGCCTTTTTCATTCTCAGATTCTTATTTCTCTGTAATTTTACAAGCCTTTTTCCTCATAGATTTTTGGCAGTACGTTAATTTGGATCTTGTTTGAGAAAAAACTATAACGTTTGTGTCGTTATACCATTCTATATCGTTGTAGGCAATGACCTATCCCATGCATCCTTCTTTATATTACTTCAAAGTTCGTTGCTATTTAGTGTCCAGATGAATGCCAAGTTTCATGGTTTGTCTGATTACCTTCTGATCCAGGTGATCCGATTGCCTATGGATAAGATGGCTGGAAGAAACCTCTACAGTCGTTTGGTACCTCTTGCTCTTCTTCTTATTGATGGTATTTCATCCCTTATTTTTGATATCTCATTTAATTTTGTCATTGGAAATTTGTTTTAATGTTTCAGATACCGAGTAAGCATAGGGTTTTTTGTGTATGATTTATTTAGGCAGCAGCCCGATCGATGTCACTGATCCAAGATGGGAATTGTATGTTCTTTCTCAAAAGAACAATGGTCAAACTCATCCTCGACTGCTTGGATTTGCTGCCCTTTATCGTTTCTACCACTATCCCGATAGTTCTCGTTTGCGTCTGAGTCAGGTTTAGTACTTTCTGGAGCTGAGTTTGGTGAAGGAATTGTGGTTGTTATGCGTTCATTTATCGTCATTGTCCTTGCACATCCATTTACTGATGCCTTGCATTTGTTCAGATGCTTATACTCCCGCCTTACCAGTGTAAGGGGTTTGGATGTTTTCTTTTGGAGGTTCTGAATAACGTTGCAATATCGGAAAATGTTTACGACTTCACCATTGAAGAGCCAATAAGTAAGCTACAGCAGTTGCGAACTTGCATCGATGTTAAACGTCTGCAGGGATTCAGCCCCATCGAAGAGGCTGTCTGTTCTGCCATTTCGCAATTTAAACTCGGAAAGCTATCAAAGAAGATCTCCTTCCCTCCACTTTTACCGTCACCTGAGGCTATTGAAGCTGTTAGGAAAAGATTGAAAATTACAAAGGAACAGTTCTTACACTGTTGGGAGATACTAATCTATCTAGGTATCGAACACGACAAGCACATGGAGGATTTTATTCTTGCAGTTTCAAGTCGAATGCGAGATGATTTGATAGGTGAAACCACAGACGCAGAAGGGAAGCAATTGGTTGATGTTCCTACCGATTATGATCAAGAGATGTCGTTCGTGATGTTCAGATCAACGAACAATGCAACTGGTGTCGAGATGGAGGAATCACGAGCTAATCAAGCGGAACAGCTCAAGAAGTTAGTAGATGATAGAGTGAAAGAAATCAAGTTAATTGCACAGAAGGTATCTTCGGATCAAATCCGAAGCATTTCAAAACCGATCTAGATGGAGCTCTCTTTTCACAAAAATCTGTCTAACTGAAACAGTAGCTTATTTATTTATAATCCGTCCCTCTGATTAACTGGAAATGAACATTCGCTAAAAATGATAGATTTAAATTTCCATTCATGCAGTTCAGCTTTAATATTTATGATATAATGTATGGTTTAATTGTTGTATTTTACATTTATTATAATCTAACTTTGATCCAATAAATTTTTTTACTGTCTTGATATCCAAGATCTAAAATTTATGGAGTTTATCATGGGTTGATTGTTTAATCTCTTTTCACGACAATATTTTACCTAAAGAAAAGTGTCTTATTCAAACAATTGCCGCAAGTGAAATGATTATGAGAATCAAGATTGTTTCCATTGCCATTTCTGCCATTGAAACAGTGCGAGCTCTCCATTGACTTTGACCCATTGAGCTCCAAATTGAGTAAAATCTAACATATATATATATATATATATAACATATATGTAGAACTGGGCCCCCGTCGAAACCCGATTACAAAGCTTCCACATGCTTCTTCCTCTTTTCTTTACGGCCTTAAGTTTCCTCCCTCTTCGTTGTTGTTGTTGTTCTCCTCCGCCCAGAATCTGGGACTTGAGGGACAGACACAGACATGGATTTGCTTCCTGCGGAGACTTCACAGATACCGAAGAAACATCGATTCAGGTCCCTCAAATTGGTGAGCGTCGATTTGAACGCCGTCCTGGCCGAGAAGCCGTATGGTGTCGAATATGGCAAGCTCGACAATGGATTGTGTTATTATGTTCGATGCAATTCGAAGCCGAGAATGAGAGCGGCTCTTGCGCTTGCTGTCAAGGCCGGGTAATTGCTTCCTAGTCTACTTTCGGTATCGAATCCTCCCAAAGTTACGACACTTAGAAGGATTAGTGTGATATCAAATTGAATTATACCTAGGGATTACGGATTCTTAATGAAATGTCGATCAGTTTATGAGAATGAAATGTTGCGTGCGATGTCTTTCTGTAGAGAACATGGATTTGATTTACTAATTTTTGATCAATCGACATTTACAAAAGATTAATGGTTTTTCATATAATCGATGCTTCGTTGTCAACTTATTCAATAACTTGCTCGCCTTGGAGTACTCTGTAGTCCATTGATATCTTTTTCTTTTCATAAAAACAAAATTTCGTTGATAATCATCGGGAAACATAAATTCTGCAAATACCTTCCTTAAGAGAGCGTCAATGATTTAGGAATCCGCATCTTTCAAAAAACAGCATAGATTCTGGAAACCCAAATAATCTCTCTGGTCCTACAGAAGCTGGAAGATTGAGTTCTTTAAACTATTAGGCCAAATAAAACTAAAGGCGAACACGTCCTAAAGTGCCCACCAAAGCTAGTTATTATACTGGCGCTCAAGGTATATGTGCCAAACCGATCTCTTACTTCTGCAAAGAACAAAGTGATAATGGTGGAACACAGTTGAAGCTTGATTAATGGCTAAAAACCCAGATGAATTAGAGACGGTAATGGTCAAAATTTTGGATTAGAAGTGTACTAATGACATAAACTTATACTCCTATGCTTCAAGTACTAAAAGAAATAATCTTTGCTTTGTTTAGTTTTAACATTAATATGTTCGCATATCCATACAATCATCATGTCAGATTCTTAATTAGATTATTTTTCTTGTCATTCAAACTAAAGTATATAAATTAGTCACAGACATACTAGTGAAACAAGCTGAATTATCAGGCTTCTGACAGATCAGTTCTGGAAGAGGAGGATGAACGTGGAGTTGCTCATATAGTTGAGCACCTTGCATTCAGTGCCACAAAGAAATATACAAATCATGATATTGTCAAGTTTCTTGAAAGTATAGGAGCAGAATTTGGAGCTTGTCAAAATGCTGCCACATCTGCTGATGACACAGTATATGAGTTATTCGTGCCAGTTGATAAGCCAGGACTGTTATCTCAAGCCATATCAATACTTGCTGAGTTCAGTTCTGAGGTACCTTGGTTGGTTATCCCCTTCACATTTTTTTCTCTCCCATTGAAATTTCTCTTTGCTGACTACCCGCCTTTTACAAAGATTCGAGTTTCTCAAGATGATTTGGAAAAAGAAAGAGGAGCTGTTATGGAAGAATTCAGGGGGAACCGCAATGCTACGGGGAGGATGCAGGACGCACATTGGGCTCTGATGATGGAAGGTTCAAAGGTAGTGTTCCTTGATTTTCCATTGATCCATTCATCTTTATTTTTACCGTTCTTTACTTTTCTGTTCAGGACTAATTATCTAAGTAGTAATATTTTCTTTACTTCCGTGTTATGTGTTTTATGCTGTCTCTAATGCTGTACTTGGGTGATGTCAGTATGCTGAGCGATTACCAATTGGCTTGGAAAAGGTAATTAAAACTGTGTCTGCTGAGACTGTGAAGAAATTTTACAGGAAGTGGTATGATCTGCATAATATGGCTGTGATCGCAGTTGGAGACTTTCCTGATACTCAGGTTTGTTTTATCCGTGTACAAGTTTTTGTATTGAAATGACAAGAGAATGTTTCCATTTGAAAATATCTAATGGTGACCCTACATCTTTAGAGCGTGGTTGAGCTGATAAAAGATCATTTCGGACATATACAATCTGCATGTGAACCTCCCCATGTACCAACATTTCCAATTCCATCACGTGACGAGCCATGTTTTTCCTGTTTTGTTGAATCTGAAGCTGCTGGGGTTAGTTCACCGTTAAACCATGGTGCAAAATTATTATTGCAGAGTTACGAGCTCAACAATTTGGCATCTGAAATGATTTACTAATTTTTTCTTTTTGTTTTTTGTTTTGGTAATAGTCAGCTGTTATGATAAGTTACAAAATGGTAGCAGATGAGCTGAAGACTGTGAGAGACTACAGAAATTTACTTGTAGAATCCATGTTCCTTCAGGCACTAAATCAAAGGTTTTTCAAAATATCTCGTGGCAAGGATCCTCCATTTTTTTCATGCTCAGCTGCAGCAGATCCTGTTGTTCTTCCACTGAAAGCTTTTATAATGAGCTCATCCTGCAAGGAAAAAGGAACTGTAAAGGCACTGGAATCTATGCTGACTGAGGTATGGCTGTGTGCTCTGACTTAAACTTCAACATCTTCCTCTTTTAGTGTGATATTCTTCTTATAATGATATATGCATTCAATTACCCATGTCCCATTTTGCTTCAGGTTGCAAGAGTACGACTTCATGGGTTTTCAGAACGTGAAATATCTATAGTTCGAGCCCTACTGATGTCAGAGATTGAGTCTGCCTATTTGGAACGTGATCAGATGCAATCAACAAACTTGCGAGATGAATATTTGCAGGTGCGTTGATGTTAAGATTTATAATGAGATATGGTGTATGTTAATGTATATCACTATTTCTGATGTAATATCTTGTTTTTTTGAGCAGCATTTTTTAAGAAATGAACCTGTAGTTGGGATTGAGTATGAGGCCCAGCTCCAAAAAACTCTTCTACCTCGTTAGTGTTTGTTTTTCTCCGTAAAATCTAATAATGTTTAGTTTTCTGTGATGCATTATCTAATACAACCGTCATTTTTTCTCTGGGGTATTACTTCTCCTCATAGATATATCAGCGTCAGAAGTATCTAAGTATTCAGCAAAGTTAACATCATTGTGCAGCTGCGTCATCAAGATAATAGAGCCACGTGCTTCTGCTACCGTTGACGGTTTAAAAAATGTTGTCATGAATATCAATTCTCTTGAGAAAGAAAGAAGCATTCCTCCTTGGGACGAAGAACATATCCCCGAGGAAATTGTCACTACCATGCCAAATCCAGGGTATCTATAATTTTTATAACCCTGCATTGTCCATGTTGAAACATTAAAATCTCAATACCCTTGGGTCTCGCATCCTTACTGATTTGTCATCTAATATGGAACTTGTTTGAGAACTGTTTTTCATGTGTATATACATAAGTTCTATGGAACTCAATAAAACCGTGTATGAATAACTATTGTTTAAAATTTCATTTTTTTTCCATGACAGCTAATAGAATGGAAAATCGTTCCAAGTTCGTGAATAGTGATTTCAACATATTCAGTAACATTAGATCTGCATGTTATCCCGTGGTAGTTCATAAAAATGTTTTCAGAAAGAAAATTAGAATGCTATTTTGTTTAATCATATAAAGAGTAATGCATGTTCTTAATTTTGTTTAATTCCTTATGAAAAACTCCTCACTTTTGAAGGTTTGAATTCAGATGTTCACTAGGAAACTTTCAGTTATTATTGTTATAATGGTGTGGTAACTACACTTTTGTGATAATATTTCAGGAACATTTTGCAGCAGCAAGAATATCCTAACATTGGAGCTACCGAAATATTTCTATCAAATGGCATGCGAGTTTGCTATAAGTGTACAGACTTTCTTGATGATCAGGTACCTTGTTTATCTGATATAGTAATTTCTGCTGCTAGTTTTACTAGCAATGAACCAATCAATGTCAACTTAATATTTGCTGATGACATTACAACCATCTTTGACATGATAAATTTTACTGTCCCCTTCCTAACACCCGAGGGGATAAAATTCAGAGAGCAGTTTGCTTGTACCCTATTTAGGGATTTAGTCCATAACGTATATCGGCTTAGAAGGTTATATCATACTTGAAGAGATTGTGAAAGCACGAAAAGTATGGATCTGTTTTTACTTTAGTTCTTTTCGTAAATCTGTTAATATTATTTCTCAGATGCAATGGTCCACTAAATTTGAATAGATTATCTTCTATTGCTCCTTCTTAGTCTAAGTTTCTCCTGTACATCTAACATACCATTTTATCTTAACAGGTAATATTTACAGGGTTCTCTTATGGGGCCTTATCTGAACTCCCAGAGAGAGAGTATAGTTCTTGCTCGATGGGTTCAACCATCGCGGGAGAAATCGGAGTGTTTGGTTATCGACCTTCTGTACTAATGGATATACTGGCTGGTAAGAGAGCTGAAGTTGGTACAAAGCTTGGAGCATACATGAGAACCTTTTCTGGTGATTGTTCACCGTCGGATCTGGAAACTGCCATGCAGGTTTGTTTCCTGTTTTCATCTCCATTACTTATTTTGTAGCCTTTAAATGAAAAACACAATAAAAATATTTTTTCCAAGATGATTAAACATATATGTCCCCTTGGACCACTTCTATGTTCCAAATTTTCCTTCATCATATGTGGATTTTTCTC